AAAAAAAACAAAAGAGCATTATAAGGCAGTAAACTGATACTGCAACACTGAAAATTTATTTGATGATAATTATTATTATTAAATAGATATTGAAATATATACAATTAAAGAAAAAGGCGGTAAATGGATTATATATTATATATATATTTATATATATATATATATTTAGATGTTGTACATTTAAGGCGATTCATAGAATAAACTGCAGCAGCTATTGACAAGAATGAATAATTCCATTCAATTACACCTTGCAATTTTAAAAAATTTGCTCAGAAAAAACAATTTAAAAATAGTAAACCTTAGACCAAACAGCAGCAATCGGATTGTACATGAAAATTCTGCCAGAGAAACTACCATCATTTGTCCATTTTTCGAACAGATACAAGCAGTTGTCAACCACACAGGCCGTACGAGTCACATTACATGGTGGTCGGCTTCTTCTTGATGGATTGAATTTGACTGGTGATGGGCCAGAGTTGTCCCCACTGAATTTGCAAGCTTCAACAAAATCATAAACTGGAAGAATATCAACAAAGCTTCTTTTCTGGCCCTGAAATAAAAATCCGGATGAAAATATGTGAAAATAGAAACGAAATTAATTAAATTCACACCTTGATTTTAGTTGATCCAAGCGTAAAAAGTATACCAACTGTACGAGAAATATTAGAATCTTTATCTGTATCATAGCTAATATTTAAATTTAGATCAAGAATTGTGTCAGTACATTTTTGCTTATCCGAGGTTGTCATCAGATTGTACCTCACTTCGGTCAACAATTTTTCTGCAAAACATTTTCTCGACGGATCCTCCGAAACCCACTTAATTATCAGATTGAAAATATCCATTTCGCTGTCTGCATTCATTTCCTCTGATGCAACCAAGCAAAACATTTCGTCTGGTGATAATGATATTTTGCAGCTTTCTGGGATCTCTTTGAAATACTTCAACATGAATTTAATAACTTTTTCGACAACCTTATTATTTAAAACGTACTTGTTTGCGATGTCCAAAATACGAATGCATGCTGACTTGTTCAAATTTTTCAACAACAATTCAATGTAGCTATTAATCATATCATTTATTTGTAGGTAGAAAGCACCATCCAGCCCTGCTTCTACTTCATTCAACGACTTCACGCTTTCCAACACGTTGGTTGACAATCTGGATAAATAATCCCTTACTTCTATTAACGATTCATTTGTTAAACAAGCCAAAGTAAGCTCTCTATAATGGACATCTTTCATTCCACTGTTCACCAAACCTTGGTAATAACCACTGGCACGTAGGAGCATGTTTCTGTCTTAGAAATTAATACAATTTGCTCTCCTCTTGAACCATCATTATTTTCTATGTTGTCTGACTCTGCATCCATCTTCGTTTTCAACTCTTTCACAACTTCGCAGTAATTTTCAATTCAGATTATACGACAAAAATGCAATACCGTATAGCCATAAACATCTATTCTATATTCGTTTAAAATATTATCAATCGACTAGGATATCTCTTAAGCAAATTCCCCTCTTTCCCTAAATACACACACACATATATATATATATATATTTATATACATATATATATACACACGTTCATTTACTGTCTTTAAAACATAGAACATAACCATACATACACACACACACATATATGTATATACATATATATATATATATATACATTATATATATATACATATATATATATATTATATATATATACGTTCATTACAACATAGAAGCATTTCCACGTGCAAGCAATGGAGCTATGACGAAATTTCATAAATAAATATACAGCGTAAACACGTGGTTCACACAACCACACACGTATGCACATTCGTAGTCATTAGCATCATACTAAAACTAAATAAAACCATGTGCTTAAACTAAACCATGTGCTCAGGTTGAAACCACGGACTTCTTGTACTGATCACCAGTGTCAATTTGTAAAAATGACATATGAGCAGATTTAAACAAATAAAAGAATTCCAGGTACCCAAACACAATATAAAGAGTAATTCTAATATTTCAAAACCGTTCCGAAATATAAAACATAATTATAAAAAAATTCAATGTACCCAAAAACAATATAATGTAGGTTATAGATATTTCAAAGAGTAATTCTAATACTTCAAAATTGTTTCGAAGTTTAAAACATAATAATACTTTGACTAACTTCTAAATTTTGAATCTTATCTTATGGAAATAACATTGCAGAAGAATTATGCCAAGCACATACACTCACTCACGCGCAAAAAACACTAACGTATAAACACACACCGGTTCATCCAAACACACTCACACAAACACAGCACTCATCCACACACACTCAAACAAGCAACCACATTCACACACACCTAGACACACATAACGCTTATATGAACATGCTTTCCCAGATAACTAGATGGTGGTGTCGGGATCTAAGTTTGTTATAAAGTTACGTAGCTTCCTCTTAATGAGTTGTAGGTTTTTGATTTCATGTAACTGAGGAGGAAGCAGTTAAGCCCAAATTTTTGGTCCAGTAGGTTTAATACTTGATGAAAATAATTTAATACGGGTTCTATGTGTGTAAAAGAATAATTGGGTGTGCCTTGTATGAGCAGATAGAATAGAATTGCTTGTTGTGTAAAGGTCGTCTAGAGGAGTAGAGAGAAGTTTATTAATAAATTTGAAAACAAGTATGGCTGGGAAATAATAATATATAAACCTTAATGATAGAATATTGTTATTTACAAAAAAGGGTTTAGTATGGGCAAAAGGATTAGTATTAAAGATAAGACGTCTTGAGCGTTTTTGAGAGAGCGTAATGTTGTACAAGTGACTTTTAGGACTGTTTCCCCATACAGTTATGCAGTAGGTAAGATGAGGATAAATAAAAGCGTAGTAAAGGTTTAGTAGAGCAGACTGAGAAAGTTTGTATTCTTTTTTGTAGAAAATTCCAATTATCAATAGTTTATTGACCTTTAGGGAAGTTGATTGCACAAATTCTCCACTCCATTTGTATGCACTACGTTTACGGCCCGGAATGTAATGGAGTGATTTACGGTTTGGTGGGCTAGACCGGTTACGGCTGTTATACTGTTATAAGTAGCCCATTGATCCGTCCAAACTTGTACCTAAAATTATTAAAATCGAACTATATTTCATAACCAACAAAAATGAATTGGAAAATATTAAACTTTATGAAACCAACCGGGCAGAACATGTCGCTGTATCAATGGCAACAGCGTGGCAGCATCTCGTTTATTTACTTCCACCAGAAAGGCATCTTTTGTTTGCGTATCGATGCCTCCAAGAACCCTGCGTGTCCTAACTGGACGTGCATTTCGGTTCCTCGATCTTTTTGCAGATGAAATGCAGCTTTCATCTATCTGAACGATGTGTCCGGGGCCACCTACTCGTGCAGGGTTATCACGAGCCCAGTCAATGCATAGATCTCGATGTAAATTAAACCAGTCAGATAATGTGTGCCCGACGTCCAAATCTAAAATCGACGCAACCATTGCCTGGCTAACGTCGTACATAGACCAGAAATACGTCATCTGTTTGAATTTAAAACAATTCGCATCATCATTCTTAAAGAAATTAAATTTTTTATAAACAATGGAAAAAATCTTACCAAAATACAATTTGTAAGGGATAATTGGCTATGGCTGTAGAAACTTCCATGCCTAATTGTTTTTGTAGCGCGGCACCTGGAGTTTCTAAACCTCCACAAGTAACCATCTGCCGTTAGTGCACTTTCTGCAAACCTTTTGTTTTATTATTTTTGAAAAAAAATCAAAATCTGACAAAACGAGAAAACTGTACAGCATGCAAGACAGTAGTATGAAATGATAACAAAAAGTAGTTAACGGAGAAAAAACGTTTTAAGCTTGAAAAGTATGCAAACCTCATGTCTGCAAGACAGCGGCATGTCATCGTGGCCGCTATCAAACCATGCTGTTCTTCATGCATCTTCTTACTTTAAAAAATAATCTATCAGTTCTAAAAATTTCTTTTCTTCAACTGATGGGTATGCAGCCATTTTTAACGTAAATAAGCGATATATTTTTATTAATGAAAAATATAAATAAATGCAATTGAAGAATAGAAGAGAAAATACTTAAAACATTTTAAAATATAAGATAATATATTTGTTAAATAATTTACAATAAAATTACAATAAATTTTTAGAAACTTGCTTCCAGAGGTAACTTGCCCGTTGAAAAAAATTTTCAATGTTAAAACGCTGGTAGGGCGCTTCCAGTTATATAATTCCATGATTTTTACTTCATAATCGGCGGATAGATCTATTTAGTTTTAGAAATTGAACTATAACATTCTGTTGTATGAATTATTCTTTTCTTCGTTAAACGTTTTTCATTCATGTTTTTTAATTTCAAAGTCATTAACATTTAAAAATTCTTCAAAAAACCGCTTATTTTTTAAACTTTTTACTTCATAACCGGCGGGTAGATCCATTGAATTATATAATATATAATTCAATTAATATAATTCCATAATTATATTAATATAATTAATATAATTGTTATATAATTCCATGGATAGATCTATTTAATTTTAGAAATTGAACTATAACATTTCCCAACGGGTACAAAGCATAAAATTCAGGTTATATTTTGATTCGAAATCGTTGATTGCATTGTCAAGGGTAGATTGCATTGTCAAGCGTTTTACATTTTATTTATTTTTTTTAAATTCAATAACATTTTAAAAATAATTACTCAAAAAACAGTTTTCCTTTTTTTAGTATTTCGGCTGTTTACATTATACTGTCGCTAACCAACGAACATGCAGGCTGTATTTAGTTTATTAGTTGCACCGTGGGTGGAGCTTATGAGTCTCTTTAAGCTGTTGACTAGAAATAAATATTTCTGGAAAAACCACTTTGCCGTCTCCGAGATTACCCGCTTATATACTCTTCGCAAGCGTCGTTTCTAGATTCTTCTAGATGGTCCGATTCTAGCGTACTCTAGAATGATCCAGTCACTAGAACATTCTAGAATACGCTAGAATCTAGTGCGTTCGGTAGCACGGTTATAACATTACCCCCTTCTTAGTTCTGTTCGTTCCGAACAGCTTTCGTTCAGGTGTCCGCATGGTACGGAGCCAGTCTATCCAAATGAACGATCTTCATTCTTGCTCTCGGCTTCCGATATTCCTGAATACGGTAGGCGACGTCATTCAAGCGGGTGATGACTTGATAAGGTCCTTCCTACTCTCGCTGGAGCTTTGGAGACGTCCTTTCTTTCGCTGTGGGTTGTACAGCCAAACTAACTCGTCGACAGCAAAACCGCCACTGCTTCCTTTCAAGTCGTATCTGGTTTTGGCCGCCTCCGTATTTTTCATAATTTTAAGGCGTACGTAACGGTGGATATGGTTTAATCGCTGTCGAAGATTATCCACGTATTCTGTTAATGGTTGGTGTGGTTCAGGTGGTACGCCATATTTCACATCAGCTGGAGTTCTTAAGGTAGTCCCAAACAGAACTTTTGATGGCGTTTCTCCAGTAGTTGTGTGGATAGCACTCCGGTATGCCATAAGAAACAATGGTATATGACGATCCCAATCCCGTTGATTTTCGTCGACTACTTTAGCCAGATGTTCAATCAGGGTTTGGTTGAATCGTTCCACCATACCGTCAGACTGTGGGTGAAGAGGTGTCGTTTGAGTTTTGTTTATACCTAGCAGCTTGCACATTTCACCAAACAGTTGTGACTCAAAATTTCGACCTTGATCTGAGTGGAGTTCCAATGGGACACCATATCGACTAATCCAATTGACTACAATTTCCTCAGCGACGGTACATGCTTCTTGGTTGGGTATTGGAAACACCTCAGGCCATTTGCTGAAATAGTCCGCTACAACCAGAATGTAACGGTTTCCATAATCTGATACCGGAAAGGGTCTAGCAATATCTATAGCAATCCGTTCAAAGGGGACACCAACATTGTAGATTTGCATTGCTCCTTTTAGATTTCTTTTGGGTCCTTTGACTGAAGCGCATGTGTTTACATTTTCGACACCAGCTCTCTACATCTTCTCTAACGTGAAGCCAGTAGAATCCTTCTCGTATTTTGTCAAGGATCTTGTTCACTCCTAAATGTTCCCCAGAAGGGCTGCCATGCATTTCATCAAGGATTTCGGTCGTTCTACTTCTTGGTATTACAACTTGCATGCGGTGTTTTGATCCATCAGCTGATTCCCATTTTCGTTTCAGCAAATCCCCTTCCAAATACAATGAGTCCCACTGAGCCCAATAACCCTTTAACACGGCACTATATTCTGAGATGCTTTGCCAGTCCGGTCGCTTGCCCTTCTTCTTCCATGTGATCAGATGTTGTAGGTCCTCATCCGCAAACTGTGCATCTGCAAGATCCGTTGGTGTCCAACCGTCATCCGCTGATATTGTTGTTGCGTCTTCCGATTGTATCTTCTCGTGACGACAGCAATATTTGCATCCTGGTAAACATGGTCGACGTGAGAGAGCATCAGCATTACTATGAGTTGTTCCTTTGCGGTGCACGATCTCGAAGTCGTACATTTGTAAACGTTCCAACCATCGGGCCATCTGTCCTTCAAGATCCTTGAAGTTGAGGAGCCATCTTAACGCTGCATGATCAGTTCGGAGAAGAAATTTCTGTCCATAAAGGTACTTGTGGAAGTGTTTTGTTGCATTGACTATTGCTAGTAACTCCTTCCTGGTCACACAATAGTTTCGTTCGGGCTTTGTGAATCCTCTGCAATAATACTCTAGCACCTTTTCTTCTCCGTCTATATGCTGTGACAAAACGGCTCCGATTCCGTTGTTACTTGCATCAGTATCTAACACAAACGTCTTGCCACGAACTGGATATGCTAGCAAAGGAGCATCACATAGTTCAACTTTTAACTTTTCAAATGCTGAGTCGCATAGGGTATTTCAGTTGAAAACTCGGTCCTTCTCGGTAAGTTGGTGGAGAGGTCTGGCAACTTTTGCAAAATCCTTTACAAAACGTCGATAGTACGTTGCCAATCCCAGAAAACTGCGCAATTCATTTTTATCCTTTGGAGTTGGCCAGTCTTTCACAATTTCTATCTTGCTGGGATCGGTTCGAACTCCATCTGAAGATACCACATGTCCCAAATAGTTAACTTCTTTAGAAAATAACCTGCACTTTTTAACGTTCAGCTTTAAATTTGCCACCCAAAGTCTTGTGAAGATCTCTCGTAAGTTTTCGACGTGTTGATCAAATGTTCTTCCTAGAACAATTATGTCGTCTAAATAGACAAGACAGGTTTTCCAGTTGAGACCTTGCAATACACATTCCATCAGTCGCTCGAATGTGGCTGGGGCATTGCACAATCCAAATGGCATGACGGTGAATTGCCACAACCCCGATCCGATAGAAAACGCTGTCTTTTCGCGATCGTTCTTGTCGATTTCTACTTGCCAGTATCCGCTTTTCCAATCAAGCGTAGAGAACCAACTTGAGCCAGATAGGGTGTCCATGATGTCATTAATCCTCGGTAACGGATTGCTGTCTTTTTTAGTCACATCATTTAACTTCCTATAATCAACGCAAAAACGGGTAGTGCCGTCCTTCTTCTTTACCAAAACAACTGGCGAAATCCAGGGACTTGATGACGGTTCGATGACGCCTTGATTCTGCATTGTCGTTATCATTTCGTTTACTTCTGTTTGTTTTGCTAGAGGAAGACGTCGTGGTACTTGTCGGATCGGTTTCGCATCCTGAGTATCAATTCGGTGAGTTACCAGAGCTGTTTTACCTTGGTCATTGTCACCGGTTGAAAACACGTCTGCAAAATCAGCAATCAACGCCTCGGCTTTTAGACGGTCTTCTTGATACAAATTGAGTTCATCCAGTAGATTTTTGGTAAGTTCTTTGAGTCTACCTTTGTCAGTTGGTAGAACCTTTTCCTGTTGCTCCATATCTAATGATTTCATCAAATTTATTGATTGGCAATTACCTATTTCCTCGCCTTTTTTAATTTTAATAGTGTGTTTAGCGGTATTCATTATTCTGACAGGAATAAGACCATTTTTGTTCGCTTCTACCAAGCATTTTCCAATGACCGCGTTCTGTACATTTGTCGTTGAGGTTGGCTCCATCAAATAGAACTGGTGGCCCCTTGGATCGCAATTCAACTTTCCCCATACGATGTTTTCAGATGATTGAGGTAGTTCTATGTCACAATCGACTGTCACTCGAATGCGTTTTTTGTCGCTATCCCCTATTATCACTTCTGTATTTCTCCATTTAAGAGTGCGTTTTTCTAGGTCAATTTTGAACTCATATTTTGTCAGAAAGTCGACACCTATTATGCATTCGTCGATGATATCCGCGACTAAGAATGAACCTTCGAATAACAAGTCGCCTAGCTGAACAGTACGGAGAATCTTTCCATAGACTGGTGCTGTTCCTCCGGTAGCTGTTCGAAGGATGTATTTGTTAGAAGTCTCTTTCTTCAGATTGGGTACCAAATCAGATCTTAAAATCGATTTTGTTGCTTCGGTGTCGACTGTAATTACACATTCTCGTTGATCAACTTTTCCGTTCAGCCATAGGTCGTTTCGATTTCGATGTAATCTGGAAACGTTAATTACGGTACTGGGGGCGTCAATTCTACTAGCCAACCTCTGCCCCACAAAGTTGACTCTTATTAGTTTTCTGCCCCTTCGTTAGAAGGGGTCGATCGTGATACAGGATCATCTTCTCTTCTTTTGCGCCATCTTGTTGCGCAATTTAGGCAGTAGTTATCTTTTAGGCGGTGTTTACAATCACGACGTAGATGGCTTTTTTCACCCCAAATCCAGTATTGGGGTACACCATGCTGTTGAGGTTCGCGTTTCACAACCACCTTCTGGCAAGAGCATTCTTCATGTACTTGGCGTGGACGTACGTCACTTTTTGATGCTTGCTTTGCCGATTCAAAAGTGAGACTGTGCGCAACGGCATCCTTGAGTTTTCGTTTATCTGACAAGAGAAGGGATTGCTTGAGTTCCGAATCACGAAGGGCTTTGATAAACGTATCCAGGGCAGTTTCGTCTCTATGCTCGGGGTCTGATTTCGGATACGACAGCAATGTCAACCGTTCGATATCTTGTGCCAGCTGCTGAATGGATTCACCAGATCGTTGCGTTCTGTTTCTAAGCTGAGATCGATAAATCTGTTTCATGTGTTCTTCACCATAACGTAAATCCAACGCGCTAACCAGAACTTCATAGTTGAAGTGGTTCTCCGCCGGAATCGTCTGAAGAACCTCTGCTGCTGAACCTCGCAGGGCCAGTATCAGTGCTGTTGCTCGTTCTTTTCCGTTCCAACAGTTACTAGTTGCCGCTGCTTCGAACTGGATTTTATAAACGTTCCAGGACATCTCTCCGTCAAATGCTGGTTCCTTCAAAGTTCTTCCGGATGCATGATCTAACGGCATGGCCATTTTTTTTGGATTGCTCCAATTATCGCTTCAATTTGTCTATCTTGTGATCTACCTCAACGGTCTGACGATCAAGTTTCTGCTCGATCATTTCTATTCTTGTTGACTGTTCTTCAATCTGTTCTGCCACTTCCAATTTTACGTGTTTTAACTCCTCTGTCTGTCGTTCGGACTGTTCCTTGATCTGTTGTTTTACCTCTTCTGTCTGTCGTTCGGACTGTCGTTCGGACTGTCGTTCGGACTGCTGTTTGATTTGTTTTAACTCCTCTGTCTGTCGTTCGGACTGTTCCTTGATCTGTTGTTTTAACTCTTCTGTCTGTCGTTCGGACTGTTGTTTTATTTCAGTTGACATACTAAGCAGAAGTTCCATCATTTTAGCGGTTGTAAACGTGCTTGTGCTAATTTCATTGTCTTCGTCAGCACCATCAAACTTGAATTCGTCTGGGTTCTTACCTTCGTCAATGAGAGCTTCTCTCAGACGTGCTACTAGTACTTCTTTGTTGCCACTTGTGACAAGGCTTCGTTTCTGTAGTTCTTCTCGTAGCTGAACTACGTTCAAACCACACAGTTTTGACATCGTGTTCTTTTTCTATGAGTAGTAATTCGCTAGTCGAAGATCCCACTTCTGACACCAATGTTATAATACTCGCTGTTGTATTCGATTGAATAAAATACTCCAAACAGTTATTAGTTATTAAACTTTATTTACAGAAAAAATCAACTAATCGTTTATTTCTAGCAAATTCAAATTAACGCAACAATTAACTTTTAAACAACGTCAACAAACAAATCAAATATCGCTTTAAATAATTCACCGAATCGCTATTCACGAAATCACAAAATCACGAATTTCACTAATCACGAATTTCTTGCGACGTGCGCTTATATACTCTTCGCAAGCGTCGTTTCTAGATTCTTCTAGATGGTCCGATTCTAGCATACTCTAGAATGCTACAGTCACTAGAACATTCTAGAATACGCTAGAATCTAGTGCGTTCGGTAGCACGGTTATAACATTATTTTTGTTTTTTTTTTTTTTTATTTGAACGAAACAAGATAACTGTTTTAATAATTATTTTTTTTATTAATCAAAAAATCATGAAACAAAAAAATATAAAATGAAGATATTTTTTTTACTTTTAAACTTTTTTTATTTTTTTGTTTTTATTAAATTTACCTTTAATATTTACACTCATTAATTTTTTTTAACAAATTTCTACAGATGCAGTTGTAAAAACGTTCACAGATGCTTTCTTTGACGTTATGATTACTAAAACAGAACTTATCCTCAACCAACAAAATATCAATCATTATGCGGATAATTATTTAAAAGTGATGAGAAGTCTTCGTTGATTGTTGGAGGTTTTGAAAAGTTTCATAGCTGTTTCTATTTTTTTCATGGTTTGAAAAATTTGCCAGCGGCCTAGACAAGCTGAAAATGCTTATTCAGCTGGCTTCAACAAACCTCCTCTATTGGTGTTTTGCAAATAGACTACAATATTAGAATGATCTTCATTGATATAAAATGAATCGTCATCCAAAAGGACCTCCCTGCAGTCGAGACATCTAATCGTACTGAGAATACTTTTCACTACTGCCCCTGCTACATAATATATTGTACTGGCTTCATTGACATCTGGCCATTCAAGATTTGACAATTTTTTTAAAATTTCTGAAGAGCTGTTGATTTTTACATAATTCGTTTCAAAACTAATATCATCAATAAAGTTGTCAACTTCATTAAAAGCCAGTTTAGAATGAGCAAGCAATGATATTTTAATTTTTGCATCATTTTTCATCATTTGCCACAGAGAAATAAAATCAAGAGAATCATAGAAATTCAAACACTCAATTAAATGTTTGATATAAGAAAATTCATTAATTTTCTTTCAAAAGCAAACAACAAAATTAGTGTTAAAGAACAAAAGAAAAATATGAAAGCGAAAAAATTTTCTGCTGACTATGTAAGCTGGTTTTGTCCAAACAAGTTAAAACATGTTTGAGAGTTTACTATCAAACGTATTAACGTATCTTATGTTTTGAATGAAAGTAATGGTCTACCCTAGTGAAGAAAAATCTGATAAGCTTCTTCAATGCAAAAAATTACAATCAATGTTATAAATGATGTTAGTTAGTTAGTAAAGAGTTGTTTGGGAGCAAGGAAATGTGCATGCTGTTGAACTGTTATGTAGTGAGAATATGGAATACTGCATTTAGCTATTTTCGACGGATGAATGAAACAAAGGAAATTCTAAGTGATTTCAAGAACAGAAGAGAGCCAGGAAAAAAAGAGGAATGAATACATCAAACAGTTGATAACGGATCTCTGTTTTTGCTACGGCTACAATGAATTTCTCATGATCAAGTTGTTTGATTTGGTCCCAGATGAAATTGTTTAATATCTCGAGGCAGCTAACATGCCCAGGCCAGAAGCCACCAGAACCAACACTCTAAAAACAAAGAGAAGAGATTTTATTAACGCTTTGATCAACAGAGGTGTTGATGACAGGATTTCATCGAGGTCTCCTCGAAAAAAATATGAGAAAAAACACAAATGATATCTATGACGATGATGATGACGACAATAGAGACAACGACACTTCTGATGTTGCTGTCATCATCAACAACGATAATGACTAATGACGACGATGATGGTAAAGTCATTGCTGATAATAATAATAATATGTACAATGATGGTAATAATTACCGCAACCGTAATAATAATGATAATATTTATGGTAATAATAATGATAGTAATAGTGATAATGATTGTAATGGTGTTTACAACTTTAACTTGAGTAATGAAAACTTTTAAACTCTAATTTTCAAAACACCTTCCTATTTATGTCGAGATTTGAGAAAATTAGTGAAAAAGCGATTCTACAATCTTTACACAGGCAAAAAAATTCTCTGTTGATTTGAACGATTTTGAAGAAGCGCTGTGTATTGTGAAACCAACGACGATGGTAGGAGACACAATCTCGATCCCAGAAGTCACGTGGGAAGACTTCAGAGAAGAGTTGGTTTGGTCAATTTTGAATCGCATCAAAAATTCTGTTTTGATGACGAAATGTGGACAATCGAGAACGTCAATGCCACTAATGGACAGATTGTAGTTGCTTGCTTAACCGCTGATTTTACTATGCAAAATGTTCTTATAAAAATTGGACTGAAGGTGATATCAGTGGATGGTTTGCTCATCAAACTGACCAAAAATTGTGTGTAAATATGTCATGCATGCTTCAAGATAACAAAAAACATAATGAAAAAATTTTGCTCTCAATGTGTCAATCAAACTCTGCAAAAAGTCACCATGTTTATCGGTCAAGAAGGAAGTGTTGTCTGCCATCTATCCAAATACAAAATACCTCCTGCCAGGGGTACAAGGTATTCCCTGCCCATGCCAAAATGTGGCAAATACAATCGAGATCCAATCTTATGCGCGGATAAATTACTTTATTCTGTTTTCTATACTTTTCACGTTTATTTATTTTAGTTACCATTTTATACTATTGCCTTGCCTTGATGGAAAAAAGATATTTCTGTTTGCCAGATCATCTTTTTTAATTTTTTTTTATTCGAAAATTTTCAATTATATCTGCTTATAATTGATTTACGCGTGTTACTTCATCGATATTAATCGACATTAACATTAGTAATTAAAGTTTGTTTAAGAATTCATCTTAGTTTTAGAAATGATCCGTTCACTTTCACTTTTTGCCAGAAGAAGTTGGGAATGCACGAAATTTAAATATACTCATATTGTTTTTAGATGCTTATTATGGAAATGAGATAATTCTGTTTACCCGGTCTTTTTTTTTAATTTTTTTCAAAAATTTTCAATTTTATATGTGCTTATAATTGATTTATGCATCTTACTTTATCGATATTAAAGTTTGTTCAAGAATTATATAAATATAGCAAACTTTGTTATAAAAATATACCAACTTGTCGCTAAGACCACCTATAGGTATCATATACAAAAATATTACCGAATCATACGAAATTAATACTTTATGACATCTTGGTAATATGCAAAAATAATAAATCATAATTATAAAAAAAAATGAATGCCGTTATTTATACAATAAAAAAAATTAACGGTTAATTCGACAAAATTACCAAATAAATATTTTCAGTTTTTAATTATTTCTAAATGAAAAAGAGAATAAGACGAATGATATCTGGTATGACACATCTTATGTACGGATTGTAACAATATGCGAAGTCGTTATATTATAACTTAATTTGAAAGGATATAACTAATGATGAGTTTATTGTGATATTTATGTGATATTTAGTTTTTATTTAATCAAATTTTTCTTCTTTATCCTTTAAGCCGGGTGAACAGCAAGTCTAATAAAACGGCGACGGCGCCAACGTGCTTCCTGACGAGTTGATTCTTGTGATGAAACTCCGAATAAATATTTCGATAAGCGCCGGAGAAGGAAGAAGATAGTCTCCCGGGAGGCAGCAATCCTACCTAAAATTCCTGACAACATCGATTATTCCTGGAAATACTTTACCTGTGCCTGCCAAGAGTCATCTGGATAACAAATGGAGAATGGCAGGAATAGGTGCGTGTATAAAAACCTGGGAAACACTTGTTTCATTGCAGCGACTCTGCAGTGCCTGGTCAGTTTGCCAATATGACTGTAAGATATGGAGAGATAATTTCTGCTCGGTTCGTATGTTGCAGGGACTAGCTGTGCAACTGTTTAACAGTGAACCAATTGTTCCGAGAGAACCAGTTGGCAGTTTTCTCTCGTAGGAAAACACATGAAATTTGGAAAACGGGTGGATGCGCTTGAATTTTTGATGGATTTTTTGGTTAGGATGGCGACCTGCTTGATTTTCATCAGCGATTTTTTTTGTTTTTTAACAAATTACTTTAGTAGTTTCGATAGCAAATTGTTTGTTTCGAGTGTCGTTAATTTCTTTCAGGTTGAAAAAATTGTTTCTAGGGTGAAACTACTGAAAAATGAACTGGAGCTTCTGAAAACTGTTAATTTTTCGCGCGATATTTTGGACAAAGTTCTGTATTGCATTAACTTTTAAAAACTTTGAAGCTAAATGGTTTTTTAGACAAATTTTATATTTTGTTAGTTCAATTTTATCGAGAATTCCGAATGTAATAAACTGGATTAATTGTAATCTTCAACTAATTATAGACAATGTTGAGGCAATTCTTAATAACCAACGAATGGTTTGAATGGAAACGTGGAATGTTATTTGTTAACAATTAGTCTATGCCTGATAGTGTTACGTTCTATCGTTTCTAATAGATCAATGTTTGGTAATAGAACCAAATATGTGAAGGCTTGTACAGCAAAATCAACTAGTCGGCTTGCTTGCAAGCTGACATAAACGTTTATAATAATTAATCTCTCAAAATGAATCTAAAGTGACTACAAACAAACACTGTCCCTGAGGTTTGGCCATGGGCTGATCGTAATGTCTCCTCCTTGGTCCTCGCTATAGATTCCCAGTGTAAATCACACACACACACCAATGACATAATGGAAAAAGATCAATATATTACTGTGTGTTGTGCTACCTCACATAGAACTAAATATAACACTGGAACATCCATAATGTTTCAAGTAGTGCAGAATGGTGATGTGAGTTAGTATGGCTCATTGTTGTTTTGTTGTACGCTGCTAACATTTCAATCATTGGATATGATTTATCAATAATTTAATTTATTCATAATATTTTACTAGCAATTAAACTTTTTACCAAATCACACAGTCATATGCCAGCTTTGTCGAAACTCCTCAAATAGTTGAGTCTTCTTTCAACATTAGTAGCCTTAAGGCTGACTGCGGATCGTAACGGCAGCTAATGCCATTGCTTTGTTCATTTGTGTTATCGTTATATGGTAAAATGTTATAGAGAACCTTAATTTTAATGGCACGATAACGATAATGACGTAATAGATGGCGACGGTGATGACGTAGCAGATGATGATGATGATGAGGAGGAGGATGACGTAACAGATGATGACGATTAATAAAAAAATATCAAAATGATGATGACGATTATGGTGATGATGGTTGTAAAAAAAATGGTAGGAAGAAATGGATGAAAGATGGAGAGGGTGTAATGTTACTGGAGACCATCTAGCCATCAGTTGGAATAGCCTGGAGCTTCAAATGTTTTCTTACAATTTTAACATCGCAAATTCATAACACACAGCAACACATCATCACAACAACACTTCATCAAAAAAACACATCCTCACAACAACACATCATTGCAACAACTTATCATCACAACGACGCATCATCACAAAAACACAACAACATACCATCGCAACAACACACAACAAGACAACCTCGCAACACAACACAACACTGCACAACAGCATAACACTGCACACCAACACAACACAACAATATGACACAGCACTAAACAGTGGCACTTTGAAGTTTGCACGGGTCACATACTTCTTGCTACTTATTTGTTTTCATTCTCATCATTTGTTTACGTCCAACTGCCATTAAACTTGCGCCCTGTCTCATGTATGTGATACGAAACGAACAACACACACTAGCACAAATACAACATGCTCTGTAGATGTGAAACCGTGAAACGTACATCTTTAATAAATCTGCATACACACATGTGCGTGCACACCACATACACACATACACAAGTATGTGTGTACGCGCGTGAATGACAACACAAGCTTTATATTGTATATATTATGTATATATATATATATATATATATATATATATATATATTAAAAAATGGTCTTTTACAAGCATATTATATATATATATATATTTATATTTATATATAAATAATGTTTTATGTGTGTGCATATACATACATAAAGCAAACACATACATACGTATGCCAGCAAAAATACATACATACATACATACATAAGCTACATACACACGCCAGCATACAAAAGCTTAAAATGTTTTTGAAAACAAACATTCGAGTTTGAAACATGTTGAGATGATGACATTCAGGAAAGCGAACGTCAAAATGTTTTTTGGACCGATTTGCTTGTTAACCTCTGACTTTAAATTTGTTATTAACGATTTTTAATGAAAATGAGAAATTTTTGAAATCTCATTAATTGATTGTGAGGCTACTCGGCTGTTATTAATCTGCCTGTAAATTGATCTCCTCCCGTGCAAGGTTCAAACAGGCAGCGAGTTTCTGCAGTACGGTTCACTAGAAAGAAAGTACAGTTATGTGTGTTTGAGAGTGTGTGTGTGCGTGCGTGTGTGTGTGTGTGAGTATGCGCGTGTGCGTGCATGCAGCGGCGGATTTAGACAACTCCGACGGGTGGGTGCCCAATATTTTCCAAGATTTTGATGACCAGGGGTAACTTTTTTTACAAATTTTTGTACGAAATTTCTTATGTTCATTCCCCGGGATAGCCAACTTTTTTACGTGGGAGCTCCCACTCGTTTTGATAATGTAGTCAAAATGTACACCTTTTTTGGGGCCTGCAATACCCATCTTTCTTTCAAAAACGCTACTTTTACTGTTAAAACAAGAACATTTACTAACCTTTAATACAAATAACGCTCACAACGGAGGATGCGTTGCTTATCTGTTTGTGTGTGTATGTGCGTGTGTATGTGTTTTTGTGTGTGTGTGTGTGTGTGTGCGTCTGTACTTGCCTAGAGTATTGTTACATAACGTATGATAGAGATATTGTTATTTGAGTTGCACCAACTGCTTCTTGCTCTCTTGCTCCAGTTCTGTTTCATTTTCAATTTGTCCGTGTGATCCCATGCAACGTTAAACACCTGGATGAAATTTTATATTATGTTCTAATATATTTTAGTTTATATGTGTGCGCGCGTGCACGTGTGTGTGTGTGTGTGTGTGCGTGTGTGTGCGTGTGTTTAATAATGTGCACAAACAACACTAGTAGAAGATTGCATACACCTTATTTAAGCATGCAGAAGTCCAGTGAATAAAAGTGACTGTTTGTAGTTGGGTTATATTACGTGGGCTAGTATGTTTCTGTCTGTCCGTGTGAGTGTATCCGTATGTGTGTGTGTTGTGTGTGTGTGTGAGTTTGCTTATGCAACATTTTTCCACTTTTTTTTACACAAAAATGAAGTTGTTTTGAATTTCAAACGAAGTCGCTATGAAGCAAGAGTTTGAACAGAACCAACATTTGATAAAATTTATATCTCAATAATTATTTCTGATTTTACGATGTGTCGTTATTTTCAAATCAAATATTAGATATTGAAAAAATATATTAAATTTGATTTAATAAAAAAAATAAGTTAAATTATTTTATAAAATACCCAACCAGATTTGACACAAGATTATAATTATAGAATTCCACCACGCACGAACCAATTAGGAATGGGTCAGCAGGTTGCCCTGCGCCTGGGAGATCAACAATCTTGGATCCTTTTGGTACCTTTGTTGCCATTCCTAAGAACCCAGGGGCAGCACATACATCGTTTTAATTAAAGTGTTCATTTTTATTGCAGCCTACTAACTTACAAAAACACATTTGAATGGCGCGTCTGAATACGTCACGTATCAAACAAAGGTTACGAGGTCACGAACTTTGAACCTGACCCTGACGACTGATCCATTATAATGTATGGTGCCATTTGCAAAGAGATGGATAGATGGACGAACGGATGGATGAATAAACCGATACATTGATGGATGAATGAATGGATAGATAAATGAGTGAATGGATGAATGGATGGATGTACGTATGTATGATGTATGATATACATCCATCTATTTATTCATGGATGAATAAATAGATAGATGGATGGATAATTATATGAATGGATAGATAAATTAATAGATGGATGCATTAATGGATGGATGAGTGTGCGGTTTCATGGATGGACGGGTGGACGAACGAATGGATAGGCGGGTGAATACGGTGTGCATTACATTTCTTTCAACTTGTTTCATTTTTGACTGTTGTACGGATCTGTGTGTTGGTGTGTGTTTGCATGTGTTGTTTTGTGTGTGCATGTAGTGTTGGTATGTGTTTCCAGACCGCGTGCGTGCGTGCGTGTGTGTGTGTGTCACAGTAGCGAGAGGGGGCCAAGACTTTGAAAAATATTTGAGTCCAAGGGGGAATTTTTCATGAGTTGTCGACCGAAGGAGGAAGTCCAAAAAAAGTCAGGAGGAAAGTTGATGACCGAAATTAATTTGTTTTTGAAACGTTTTTAGTGATACGCCACTGTGTGTGTGCGCGTGTATGTGTGTGTGTGTGTATGTGTGTGTCTTTGTGTGTTTATTGTGTGTGTGCGTGTATGTGTGTGTGTCTTTGTGTGTTTATTGTGTCTGTCTTTTTCATTTTGAGTCAAAGAAACGAGATATAAGAAACAACCGTTTTTTGATCATCGTAGTCGTCATCAGTTTGTTTAGCAATTTAAAC